GCATGGCCTAGGATCTCATGCCCAGCCCTGAGATTTGGCTCCCAACAAAGTTATATATAATTTTCTTTAAAAAGATAACCTTGCAAACATTCCCAGTGTCCTTAGTGATCTGAGTATGTAAGGACCTTTATGCTCCCAACCACTGCAGTATGGACATGGGTTTTCTGGACAGGATAGTGCTGCTGCACATATAAACTCACATGGACTATGACTGCACATACAATACCTGCACATGGTCAAGCCAGACAGGAACTCTGGCATAGATAAGGGAGGGTCTCATGAAGTAATACTCCTAGCTGGGTAGCTATTGGCAACTGATGGCTGTTGGGGACTGGAGAATGAAATTGTTTTTTACTATGTTACACTTATTTATTTATGCATGTGTGCATGTATGTATGTATGTATGTATGTATGTGTGTGTGTGTGTGTGTACGTGTGTAATTACCTCAGCACATGTGTGAAGATCAGAGGACAACTTGCAGAATCAATTATTTCCTTGTACTATATGGGTCCCAGAGATCACTCTCAGGTTGTCAGGCTTGGTGACATTGAGAGTGTCACCTTATCCACTGAGCCATCTTGCTGGCCCACCATTTTTAAATTAAATTTTATTTATTATTATGAGGTATGTGTATGTTATGTATGAATGTGGGCACTCTCGGACCATTGTGCATATTCTGTTTTGCTTCTGTTACTATGATAAAATACTGACCAAAAACAACTTGGAAAGGAAAGGGTTTATTTCATCTTGCAAGTTATAGCCCATTAGTGGAGGGCAGGATTTTGAGGCAGGTACCTGGAGACAGAGACTGAAGCAAAGACCATGCAGGATTGCTGCTTATTGGCTTGCTCTCCATGGCTTGCTCAGCTTTCTGTCTTGTACAACCTTGAACTGTTAGACCCCCGGAAAACTCAGGTATCCGGGGTCCCAGGCCACGACTGCGGTCACCCCAATCACCAGGCAGATTCGAGAGCTTGCTGCAAACTGCATGAGGCTTTATTGTAATTTAACGAGCTAACCCCATGTTAGCTTGGGTCTTTCACCCACCTGCCATGGCGGATGGCTCGAAAAAGACAACTCCTAGGGCCTCCCGAGAGATCTTGTAGGGCAGCGTAAGGGGAGTGTCTAGGGGTACACACAGGCTCACGATTGGTGTGCCTCCAGGCTTAGAGGGCTTGCCCTGTGTTGATTGGTCAACTGGTTGTTATGGCCCATAGGCCCTCCCAGGGTGGTTGCTATGCTCTGTGCGTCATTGCTGTGTGCTTGTCCATAAAGTACACCCAGGGTCATAAAGCATAGCGCCACCAGCTAACTTCTGATTGGTTCCTTGTCACGAGGCAGACATCTGACCTCCTAGTGACTAAGGCAAGGTCATACAAGAACGTGTTTGGCTGTTATGGCTGCTGAAATGGGGGGCTGGTCCCTTCAGAACCACCTGCCCAGGGGAGACCCTGCCCATAGTGGCAAGGCCCTCCCCCATCAGTCATTAATCAAGAAAAAACCCCACAACATGTCCATGGGCCAATGTAATAGAGGCAAATCCTCAGTTGAGTGAGGTTCCCTCTTCCCAGGTAACCTAATTTTTATCAAATTGACAAAATCTAGTCAGCACAGTGCATATGGAGAAGTCTGAGGAGAACTCTGGGGAATTAGTTCTCTTTTTCTATGGGGGGGGGGGTTTCTAGAGGATGAACTTAGGTCATCAAGCTTTCACAGTAAGTGCTTTTACACACCAAGCTGTCTTACAGGCCTGCAATCCATCCTTTATAAAGGATAGAAATTAAAAGCAGGGGCTACACCCGTGGAGTTTAGAAAGGAAAGAGGAGGGGTCTTTTGAGTGTAGCCTCTGAGAGGACTGAAAGCCTGGCTGGTTTGAAGACAGGACCATCCTAATTACTCTCTCATGAGTATTGACTATGTGCTAAATCCGAGCTAACCTTTAAGATCAAGGGTTTGTAAACAACGATTATGAATTTATACAGTTGCTGATAACTACCGAAAACGTATGTGTTTGTATATACACATACATACACATGTGGATCCATCTCTGAAAGATGTTCATGTATGTTACTGTAGCTGACTTAGAATATAGTGACCTGTGCCCCCTCCTAGAATAATGACACAAACAATGCCTTGAAAGCCTGCTGAGCTAGAATCACAAACGTGGGCACAAGTCCCATTTCAGTTGCTGCTCTGGTATCCATGAATCAGTCATTTAGTCAGTTTCTATGCCAATGTCCTAATCCATAATATTGGCTTATACTGTAATTGCCTATACCATAAACATCAGAGTGTTAGTTACCACAGGTCCGAATATGGGGGCATATTTGGGAAGAGGCCTCCATAGGCCACAAATCAAGTTCCCAGGTGACTTAGGGTTTCTACTGCGGTGAAGAGACACCACAAACATGGAAACTTTTACAAATGAAAATATTTAATTGGGGTGGCTTGCTCGTAGTTTCAGAGGTTCGTCAATTATCATCGTGTCTGGGAGCAATGTGGCATGCAGGCAGACATGGTATTGACTACATCTTGATCAGAAGGCAACAGGAAAGTGGACTATGACATTGGGCAGTATCTGGAGCCCAGTATCAGGAAACCTCAAAGCCTGTCCCCACAGTGACACACTTCCTCCAACATGGCCACACTCACTCCAACAAAGCTACACCTCCTAATAGTGCCACTCCCTTTGGGGGCCGTTTCCTTTCAACCTACCACAGCATACCACACAGAAGAAAATAATTGCCCTGGTGTACTTCCCCCACTCCTACTCCCACCATTGCTTCACTTCTCATACACGCTCAAGTCACTGTTGCCTATAAGATGTAGAACTCTCAACTCCATGTCTGCCTGCATGCCTCCATTGTTGGAGTACCTGCCATGATGATAATGGACTAAACCTCTGAAACTGTAAGCTGCCACCTCAATTAAATGTTTTCCTTATAAGAGTTGCTGTGGTCATGGTGTCTCTTCACAGCAACAGAAATGTCGGGAGCCAATGATTATTCTATTACAGAATTTCTTGGGGTCCAGACCTCTGGTTCCAGTATCCGGGAGCCCTAGCCGGCATTATATTGCAGATGCTAGCTGATTTGCTGCTGAATGGCATAGCCTCAGTGGAGAATGAGAATGTCTCTGAGTTTGCATTTCTATAGGCCTAAGCATTTGAATAGGCCTGCACCTGAGGGGAGAAGTCTATGTGGATAGAGAATACTTTCTAGGTGTGGGCTGATAAGGTCCAGAGGGAGGTTGATAAGAAATGGCCTCTGCTGTCACAGGAGAACGGTTAGTAAGCAGTTGAGGAAGATGCTGAAATAAATGGGATACTCCAGTTTGCAGCATGGAACTGAGAGCTCTCCAAAAATGACAAGATGCCTGTGTCTGCTCTTTATCGCCATTGGGTAGCTAGGAATTTCCAGGTCCATCCTCCCCCACTCAGACCGGACCCATGGCTTCTGTAGCTTGGGACTGATACAAGTACAAGCCAGGCCAGATCATAAAAACCCTAACTAAGACATATGGGATATGCCTCCTTTGTGAACAGGGCCCACCTCATGAATAAAACGATGCTGCCCAAACAGCGGATTAACTAAAACATGTATTGTCATCTCTGAAACAGGGATGCAATCGCCTGTCCCAGAGGCACAACCTTGTACGGATTCTTCAACTGTACATAATTCATCCTTGGTTTTATGTCCCGGTATCCATTCCAGGGCTACACAAACACTCCTCCATGTAGGTCATCTTATATAGGTGATGGGAATGCAGTCAGGCTGAGGCAGCTGTGGCATGGCTTTTGCTGTGAGTAAGAAGACGTACAACTGAGGCCAAGCTATCTGCCTAGAAAGAATGTGCCCATGCAAGAGGAGAATTATGATGAGAAAGACACATTCATCTTATCTTCACATTAGTCAGGAAAAGTGGAGAAGGGATTATGAGATGGCACTGTTGGCTTGCTGCTTAAATCTAGTAGACTGTGGGGGATGGGGTTATGCTAAAGAGCCTTTCTTAGGGTCCAAAATCTTGGTACCCATGGGAAGAATTGGATAGTGAATACATTATTACTTCTCTTATAAAACACCACGACCAGCAAAAAGAGAATCCATTTGGACTTGTAATTGGCTTGCAGTTCCAAAGTGGTAAGAGCCCATCAGAGTGGGCAGCATGGCAGCACGGAGGTGTGACTGTGGAGCAGTAAGCTGAGACATTATATCCTCAGCCACAAGCTCAAAGCAGATAGAGAAAAATGGAAGTAGGATGAGGCTATGAAATCTCAAAACCTGACCCTTGTGGCATACTTGCTTCAACAAGGCTACCTACACCTCCTACACTTCCTTAAACAGTTTCATCTGGGGATGAAGTTTAGATATCTATGAGCCAGTGGGGGCTGTTTTTTATTCAAGCCACCACAGTGATTTAAAAAAAAAAAAAAAAAAAAAAAAAAAAAAAAAAAAAAAAAAAAAAAAAAAAAAAAAAAAACATAAAAAAGAAGGACTTGGCTTCCTTTTGGCCAGCCATAACAGCCGAACACGTGCTTGCCATAAACCTGCCTTGGTCACGTAGAGGTCAGATGCCTGTCTCGAGACAAGGAACCCATCAGAAGTTAGTCACTAGAAAGTCAGAGGCCTGTCTCGTGACAAGGAGCCAATCGGAAGTTAGCTGGTGGCGCTATGCTTTACGACCCTAGGTGTGCTTTACAGACAAGCACACAGCAATGACGTAGAGAGCATAGCAACCACCCTGGGAGGGCCTATGAGCCATAACAACCAGTTGACCAATCAACACAGGGCAAGCCCTCCAAGCCTGGAAGCACACCAATCCTGAGCCTGTGCATAACCCTAGACACTCCCCTTACTCTGTCCTATAAGATCTTTGGGGAGACCTTAGGAGCCGTCTTTTCTAGCTGTCCGCCATGGTGGGTGGTTGAAAGACCGGAGCTAACACGGGGTTAGCTCGTTAAATTACAATAAAGCCTTGTGCAGTTTGCAGCAAGCTCTTGAATCCGCCTGGTGATTGGGGTGACCGCGAACCTGGCCTGAGACCCTGGATACTTGAGTTTTCGGGGGCCTAACAGAATAAGTAATAGAGGATATTGCCTAGGTCTGTCCTTGAATAGAAAGAAAAGAAAAGAAAAGAAAATATAAGGCCATGGTTCAGAATACAGAGGCTTTACTAATGGCCCACGACAAGAAACCATGATAATCAATGAGCATGCCAAATCTGAATTGCTCGACTTGGGATGTATTTATTTGTTTATTTATTGACTGAGGGTGAAAGGCTCATAAGGCTGTGAGACCTGGGGACAGATTGGACTGAGGACAGATTGGACAGATTGAGGGCTGTGGAAGTGGAAAGACTGAGAAAAACAACTATCCATCCCTTTTTAAGATAAAGCTGTCTAGACCTCAAGCACCAACGGGCTTACTAGAACTGAGTTCGTAGAGTAATTTAAAAAGAACCTGAGCTGGACACGGTGGCACATGGGTGGAGATCAGATGATAACTTGCAGTAGCCAGTGCTTTCCTACCATGTTGAAGGAGGATCAGGAGAACTTGGGCCAACCAGGAAGGCAGGGATGGGCCCCATCAAGAGGGGCTGCCTGTTGCTTCTGGGGTTGTTCCCTGCCATGAGCCCAACTCTTACAAACTGCTAATGCTGGAGGGAAAGAGCTTATCTGAGGGAGGATACTGTGGGTGAGACTATCAGGGAGGAGGAGAGGGAGTCAGGAACGGGAAGGCCAGGAGCCTTAGGTCTTACACAGAGTCTCTGGGTGGTCTCTCAACTTCGAGGCCTTTTTCATCTCATTGATGGGAGCAGTCTGCCTGTTCTTTCATGTTACTTTTTATTTTTTGAGATTAGAATCTAATTACATCATTTTTTTCTTTCCCGTCCTCCTTCCAAACCCTATCTTATACCCCTCCCATTGCTCTTTCAAATTCATGGCCTCTTTTTAAGAAATTTAGTTGTTAATACACACATACATGTATGTATACATAGATATATTCCTAAATGCATAAATACAACCTGCATAGTCTCTATAATATTAGTTGTAGGTATGTTTTCAGTGCTGACCTTTTGGTATGGGATAACAAACTGGTGTGCTCTTCCCTGGGAAAGACTATTTTTCCCAATCTCGGCATTCCAGTTGATTGTAGTTCTTTATGTAGTGCTGAAGCCTCTTTGGCTTTCCCCATTCAAGTTAACATGTCTATCGGTGTTACCCTTGTTCGGGTCATGCTTGGGCAGTCATATTGTTGAAACTTCATGGGTGTAGCTTCTGACATTTCTAGGAACACAATATCATAGTAAACTCCTTGATCTCCTGGTTCTTTCAATCTTTCCACCCTCTTTTCCACAGTGACCCCGGAGCCTTAGTTGTAGGAATTGTTCTGTAGATGTATCCACTGGGATTGGGATCCACAACTGCATTTTGATTGGTTGTGGTTTTCTGTAATGATCTATCTGTTGCCAAGAGAAGTTGCCTAGATGAGGGGTGAGGAATAGACTTATCTATGGGTGTAAAGGCAAATATTTAGAATATACCTAGGGAGTATACTGGATAGTTTTTTGTCAGCTTGACACAAGCTAAAGTCTTCTGAGAGGAGAGAACCTCAATTAAGAAGATATTGGGCTGTAAGCAAACCTGTAGGGCATTTTCTTAATTAGTGATTGATGGAGGAGGGCTCAGCCCATTGAGGGTGGTGCCATCCCTGGGCTGATGGTCCTGGGTTCTATAAGAAATCAGGCTTAGCGGCTGGGCCTTTGTGGCGCACACCTTTAATCCCAGCACTAGGGAGGCAGAGGCAGGCAGATATCTGTGAGTTAGAGGCCAGCCTGGTCTACAGAGTGAGTGCTAGGATAGCCTCCAAAGCTGCACAGAGAAACCCTGTCTCGAAAAACCAGAAAAAAAAAAAAAAATCAGGCTTAGCAAGCCAGGAGGAGCAACCCAGTAAGGAACGTCCTTCCATGGTCCCTGCATCAGCTCTTGCCTCCAGGATCCTGCCTTGCTTGAGCTCCTGTCCTGACTTCTTTGACAATGAATAAGATGTGGAAGGATAAGCCAAAAAAACTTTTTCCTCCTCACCTTGTTTTTATGTGGTGTTTCATCACAGCAATAGTAACCCTAATGAAAAAGACAAACAAGATCATGATGGTTTAGAAAAGTGGTATGCCTGTCTGTTCTAATAAAGTTTGTCTTTTTTCTCTGTCTGCTGATCTACATCTCCCATCTGTCACTTGCATTCCCTTGGTGCCTGCTGCTGTTGTTCCTTTCACGGTTCTGTCTACTATTTTCCCCAGAGATCCAATCCTTTGTCATAGCACAGAATAAACCCAGCTGATTCCCCAACCTTACCCTATATTTCCTCCACAACAATGTGGGTTCCAGGGATCAAACTCAGGTTGTTGGTCTTAGCAACAAGTGACTTTGCCCTCTAAGCCAACTCAGTTTTTCAAATATGCAAAGAACTTGTTACTAGAGAGAACTATTGCAAATCAATGACATCAATATTTCACTTGGTAGAAACAGAGAAACACGCTCATACATATCAGGAAGTGGTACAGACAGTTGGAACGATGGAACCTTATTATAAACCCAAGTTTTCTGATTAGCTTCACTATTAGAATTGGATAAAGCAGAGCTTTCCCATAGTCCATTATCCAAAGAACAAGATTGCTTCCTGAGAGCTTATAATTTAATTAGTCTTTCTTCCAGATAGAGACTTTAAGATTATGTGGGAGCCTATTTTTTTGTAAAGAAAAGCAACAGAGCTATATGTAGATGGCTTTTTTTTAAAAAAAAAAAAAAAAGTAAAGTTGATGGTGGTTTTAAAGAAGAAATATAAATCTATAAATCTATAGAAATCTATAAATCTAAAGAAAGTTGTTGGAGATGAAGGGGAAAATATTCAGATAAAAACAACCTGTGTCTTTATTCCCGATTTTCTTACTCCCCTTTTAGCTTCTTATCAGAGGTTTGTCCTTCCCAGTTCAAAGTCTATCTTCTCCAGGAAGTTGCTGGAAATTCTCTCACCCAACACACTATATATAGCCCTGTAGTTTATGCCTTGTAGCACCGCCCTTTGTGCTTGACAGAGGTTTATTGAAAGTGGAGGAGGATAATGAGTGGGAAATAAAACTGACTACTACAGCAAGCAATTTTAATAGATGTAAGGGTCTTTTCAGAAGGGCTTCCCAGGCGTGCCAGATGGCTCTGCTGGTAGAGGCATGCTGCTAAGTCTGACCACAGAGTTTGATCTCCAGACCCTACCTGGTATAAGGAGACAGGCAACTTTAACTCCTGCCGGTTATCCGACCTCCACATATGTGCTGTGAGCAAATACGTATATGTACATACACTCAAACTAATGAGATAAAAATGTAGTAAGAATGTCCAAAGAAGTTGGGCGTTGGTGATGCACACTTTGATCCCAGCACTCAGGAGGCAGAGGCAGGTGAATCTCTGTGAGTTTGAGGCCAGCCGGGTCTACAGAGTGAGTTCCAGGACAGGCTCCAAAACAATACAGAGAAACCCTGTCTCAAAAAACAAAAACAAAAATCAAAAGCAAAAGGATACTGTCAACTCAGAGGTAAGTCAGTGTAGATATTATACTTTGCCAATGGCCACTGAAGCTCAGTGTCACTAAGCATCAATTAGGGGTTTAGGTAATGGAGAGAGGAAAACATGATGGGGAGGACGAGATCTTAAGGGAAAGGTGGAGAAGGGATAAAAGAAAGGGTTACATGTGGTGTGACAGTAGAAGGGGCAGCTATTGGGGAGGAGGAGTAGAGCAAGAGGCAGACAGGGAGTTGGGGTCAGGTGGTGGGAGGAGAAGATAAACAGGAGTAAAGTATAATGACGTGTGTATGAAAATGTCATAATTATCAGGGGAGGAGCAGGGGGTGAATATAATCAAAATACATTGTGTGAAATTCTCTAAGAATTAATAACAATATTTACAAAGGAAAATGGCATGATGAAATCCATTACTTTGTATGCTAACTTAAAAAAAACAAATCGTAGAGGCTGGAGAGACGGTTCATGCACCACTCTTCTAGAGGACCTGAGTTCAATCCCCAGCACTTGTGTCAAAGTCAGGTGACTACTCATAGTTACCTGTAATTCCAGTTCCTCTACCTAACTCCAACACCTCTACCCTCCCCTTCTGAGGGCACTCATACGCATACCCACTCACAGACACCCTGTACATGTGGTTAAAAGTAAATCAAAAAAAAAAAAAAAAACATTTAAAGGTGAGTGGTTCTCTAAGCATTTGAAAATAAAGATACAAGATTCGGGAATTAAATGGATTTTCTGTGGTGGAAAATGACAGAGTGTCTCATTGGCTCTGAATAGTTACTTGGCTGGCAAAACTCCTAAACCAGCAATGTAAAGAAGCTGCTGCTTGGGGAAGTAGGGTGTACGGAAGCAAATGTGGGGAATAGACGTATGTTTAGTACCATCCACCCCAAAGACTAGCTGAGATTGGACCTGGTGACCATCTTCTTAGTTAAAAGTTTTCTTTGTTCCAAGCAAAGACAAAAGTTTGTTTCTTTCCTTTTTGGGTGGTGGTGGGGGGTTTGAGACAGGGTTTCTCTGTGGCTTTAGAGGCTGTCCGAGAACTAGCTCTTGTAGACCAGGCTGGTCTTGAACTCACAGAGATCCACCTGCCTCTGCCTCTGCCTCCCGAGTCCTGGGATTAAAGGCATGTGCCAACACCATCCTGAGTTATTGTTGGTTTTGTTTTGTTTTTATTACATTTACTTATGTTATGTTTTCCCTTACTCCCAGCAGAAATGTCCTTAATCATTCAGTCAGTAACTATCTCTGGAAATTAAGTCCAATTAATTTAGTTTTTCTGTTTGTTTGTGTTTGTTTGAAGTAGGATCTCGTGTAGCTCTAGCTGGCTTGGAGCTTGGTCTCAAACATACAACAATTCTCTTGCTTCTGCCTGTGTGCTTTGTTTACAGGCATGTAATTATGCCTGTCAAATTTTAATGTATATACTTATAATTCAGGCTGGAAGGTGTATTCCTTATTAAACTGGTTCAATAAAAATTACAGGAAACCATTGTTTTGGATTAAGTTCCTACACTATGATTCAATAGGCTAAAACTAAAAATGGAAGCTTGTGTGGTAGAGCATACCTATAATCCCAAAGCACTGGGGATATAGAGGCAGGAGGATCACTTCAAGTTCAAGGCTAGCTTAGTCTCCATATTGAGTTCCAGGACAACGAGGACTTGGTAGTAAGTAAAACTCTATCTCAAAGAGCCAAATCAACTAATCAAACAATTAGAAAACAAAACAACAAAACAAAACAACCTCTTTGATATTAAAGCTCCTCAACACTGAGTGCTTCCCCCCAGGGTGAAATTGTATTCGAGTATGGTGGGCATAGTTCACAACCCAGTTTCAATTGCAATGACAGGGATTTTTGTTTGTTTGTTTGTTTGTTTTTGCTTTAACCCGCACAGGGAAGAAGTTATCAAAATCATTTTTCTATTGTGAAGTCTCCCTGTTCAGCAGTTCTAAGGGAAATAACTGAAATGCCCAATCTGCCTTTTGTTCTTTTGTCTCTGCTTCTTTCCACCTTTCTGTCTATAAAACCAATGTTTCCTGCTTAGCCTATAGGAATGTGTACTTTCTCAAGTGTTGCTCAGTTCTAGACTCATATCTAATTAAGATCTCTAATGACTGAGGTGTAGCTTTGTCCTAGAGTGCCTGCTTAGCATGCTGTAGGCCCTGAGTTGGACCCATAGCACCTCCGTTCCTAAAAAAAGAAAGAAGGTCATAGATGGGATCTCTCCTCTTATTTCCCTTTTCTCACTGTGTCTCTTGCAATGGCTATCTTTTTTTTTAAGATTTATTTATTTATTTATTTATTATACAGTACTCTGTCTGCATCGATGCCTGCATGCTAGAAGAGGGCACCAGATCTCATTATAGATCGCTGTGAGCCACCATGTGGTTTCTGGGAATTGAACTCAGTACTTCTGGGAGAGTAATCAATATTCTCAACCTCTGAGGCATCTCCCTAGCCCCTGGCTATTCTTTTTTTTTTAATAAAAAATTTATTTACTTTCATTTTATGTGCATGAGTATTTTGCCTGAATGAATGTAATATATCACTTGAGTGTATTGCCTAAGGAAGCCAGAAGAGGGACTCAGATCCTCTGGAACTGGAATTATGATGGTTAGCCACTGTGTAGGTTCTGGGACTCGAACCCTGGTCCTCCGTAAGAGTAGCGTCAGTGCTTTTAACTGCTGAGCCATTTGATCAGTGTTCTTGGTTGTCAACCTGACACATCTGAGACGGGAATCTCAGATGAGAAACTGAGCCAATCAAATTGGCCTATGGACACATCTGTGGACATTTTATTATTATTATTACTAACTGATGAGAAGAGCCAAGGCCACCAGGGGTGGTACTACCCTTGGATAGATGGGCCTGGAATGTATAAGAAAACTGGTTGAGAAGAAGCAGGAAGCCAGCCAGTAAGTGGCATTCCTCCAGTATTTCTACCTTGGTTTCCCATGATTATAGACTTGAAAGAGGAAATAAACCCTTTTCAACAAGTTGTTTTGGGCAGGTCTTCTTCCTTCCTTCCTTCCTTCCATCCTTCCTTCCTTCCTTCCTTCCTTCTTTCCTTCCTTCCTTCCCTCCCTCCTCCCTCTCCTCCTTCCTTCCTTCCCTCCCTCCCTCCTTCCCTCCTTCCTCTCTTCCTTCTTTCCTTCTCATACTGAAGGTAGTTTCCCCTCCCTCCTCTCCTCGATTCCCTCCCTCACTCCCCACCCCCAATCTACTCCTCCTGTTTCTGTTCAGAAAAGGGCAGGCCTCCCATGGTCAACAAAGCATGGCATATCAAGTTGCAGTAAGACTAAGCACCTCCCCTTGTATTAAAGCTGGGCAAGGCAATCCGGTATGAGGAATATGTTCCCAAGAGCTAGCCAAAGTGTTAGGGACAGTCCCTGCTCCCATTGTTAGGAATCCTACAAGTTGACCAAGCTACATAACTGTCACATATATGTAGAGGACTTAGGTCAGTCCCATGCTGGCTCCTTGGTTTTTGGTCCAGACTCTGTGAGTCCCTATGAATCAGGTTAGTTGTTTCTGTGGGTTTTCTTGTGATGTCCTTGACCTTTCTGGCTCCTATAATCCTTCCTCCCTCTCTTCAGCAGGATTCATTGAGCTTGGCCTAATGTTTAGCTGTGGGTCTCTGCGTTTATTTCCATCAGTTACTGGAAGAAGGCTCTCTGATGACAGTGAGGTAGTCACCAATTTATCAAAGGCGAAGGCCAGTTCAGGCACCCTCTCCAGGATCGCTAGGAGTCTTAGCGGGGTCATCCTTGTAGCTTGTGGGAGTTTCCCTTGCATCAGGTTTCTACCTGATCCCAAAATGCCCCATCTTTCCAGTCATCTCTTTCAGTACTCTCCCCCTCCATCAACCCCCCAACTTGATCAACTCAAGTTCCCACCTACTCCTCCCACCCGGCATCCACCCAGGAACACTCTTGGGCATATACCTAAAGGAGGCACATTCATACCACAAGGACACTTGCTCAACTATGTTCATAACAGCATTATTCATAATAGACAGAACCTGGAAACAACCTAGATACCCCTCAACTGAAGAATGGATAAAGAAAATGTGGTACATTTGCACAATGGAGTACTACTCAGCAGAAAAAAAAATGACATCAGGAAATTTGAAGGCAAATGGTTGGAACTGGCAGAAGAAACTGTTCACTTCCAGGGTGGATAGAAGAAAGGAAGAAGGGGAGAAGGGGATCGGACTTTCATAGTCACATCAAGGACACACTCTTGGAGACTAACTCCTTTTCTAAAGTTTTCACCACCTCCCAGTAGCTTGCCCAAGCTGTCAATCAGGCTTTTAGCACATAAACCTTTGGGGGATATTTAAGACACATAATACAATCAGAACATGACTGTATTGGGTAGGGATGCAGCACAGTTGGTAAAGGTGGCCTGACCCTGACTATGAATACCGGAACCAAACAAATCAAACCGGGTGTGGTTAGCACAAGCCTGCAATCCCAGCATTTGCGATTATACTCCCCGCAGCAGTCCGCCCTCAGCCCCGCCCAGGTCACCGCTCGCCCCGCCCACAGCCCAGCCTCGCCCTTTCTCCTCCGTGGGGTGCTGGTTTCCTTTCAGTTCCCTGGTTTCCAACCTTTCCAGTGGCTGACCCAGGCCGCTTTCTGCTCCCCGTTGCGGCGAACCAACGCGCCTCTCATTGTGCGCAGTCTTTCCAGTCCCGAGCGCAGGTAGAGAGCCCAGGCTGAGTCCTGCGTGGGTGGACTCTGGGAAGGATCTCAGGGCGAGCGCAGGGCTGCCGCTTAGTCCTTCCGGGCCGCCTGGGTCGGGAATAGGGGGTTACGGAGGGAGGGAGTGGTAGGTGGTTGGGGAGAACAGGTTCCTTTTGCCTTAAATGCTCCTGGGAGAAGCGCGTGAGTGTCACAAATGAGGGGGTGTTGTGAACACTTTTAGCAACAGAAAACTCACTAGACTGTCCACGCTTAACACAGAGAGTTGGACGCTAAGATGCTAACACAGCAGGCCTTCACGGCTTCCCGAGAGACCAGAATGTTTGGAGTATGGCCCCATTCGTGAAGCCAAAGAAAAGGGGCTAGAGGTAGAAGTGGAGGGAAATATACATACTTGTACATACACAGAAAATGTTTGAATGCTAGTATAAAGTCATCAGTAGCAGTTCTCTCTGGGACACGGGGAAGAACTTCTAAGTTTTCTGATTTGCTCATCTGAATCTCCACAAAGGCCAGGGAGGGGAAAAAATTACATGTCTTTATTTTTCTGTTAATTTTTTATTTTGGTAACTTGTTTTTCAATCCAGGATTATGCCAGATGTGGTTGTACACGCCTTTAATCCTAGCAGTAGGGAGGCAGTGGCAGGTGGTTCTCTGCGAGTTGGAGGCCAGCCTGGTCTACATAGTAGTTCTAGGTCAGCCAGACCTACATAGTGAGGCCTTGTCTCAACAACAAATAAATAAATAAACAAATAAATAAAATCTTGGGTTAATTCTGAGATTCATTGTTGTTCCTTGTGTGTGTCGGGGGGCATGTATGTTTGTGTACATGTTTTGTGTGTGCAAGAGTTTGTGCATGTGCAGATGTAGATACAAGGCTAGAGGGCACATCAGGTGTCTTACTCTATTGCTTCCCACCTTACTATTGGTAGGCTGGCTGGCCGGCTTGCTGGAAGAATCGACCTGTAGATGCATTATCAGTTCTGCTCCTAGCTCCTCACCCCTTTTGGACAAAGTCTCCCATATTCCAGGGTGGTTTTGCTCTTTCAACTTGCTAGGTAGTCAAGGGTAACCTTGAACTCCTGATCCTCCAACCTCTGCCTCAAGTGCTGAGAGGGCAGGTGTGTGCCACACCTACCCTTATTGTCCCCCCCCCATTCTAGTACCGAGACATGAGGGGAATAAGCCGGACACATTTTCTTCTGAGAAAGGGTGTGTTAGTGTAGCTCCCAGGGACCTGGAATTTTCTATGCAGCCCAAGCTGGTCTCTGTCATGCCCTCCTCTTCAGCTGGGATTCTAGGCAGGTCACCACCATGCTAGGCATTCTTTTCCTTCTAAGGTTTTGCTTTACTTTCCCCCACCTTGTTCTTTCAGAATTCTCCCTGGATGAATCCATAAAAAGAAGGGCCAACATGGTGGCTCAGTGGCTAAAAGTGCTTGCTGTGCAATCCTGGCCATCTGACTTCAATCCCTAATCCCACTGGGAAGGAGAGAACCAACTCCCAAGGGTTGTCCTTTAACCTCACACATGGTGTGACATGTGTGCCTGAACTTAACACACACCTCTCCCCCCAAAACATACACATACATTCAGTAATAATAATAATAATAATGATGATGATGATGATGTTGATAAGCCAGGCAGTGGTGGCGCATGCCTTTAATCCCAGCACTCAGGAGGCAGGGAGATCTCTGGGAATTCAAGGCCAGCTTGGTCTACAAATTGAGTTCCAGAACAGCTAGGACTGTTACACAGAGAAATGCTGTCTTGAAAAAAGAATACTACTACTACTACTAAACCTAATTTTTAAAAGAAGTAAAAATATTGTTTGTTCTTTGCATATCACTGGTACAAACAGATTAATATGGAGTTGGTATGTTTCTAATGCAGCTCATCACTCACGTGTTCTTTCCATCTAGGCATCCATTGGTTGTGCTGCAGCTATGGAGAAACTCTGTGGGCACCGAGACATCCTGTCCTTGGAGAACCAGTGCCTGCCCATGCTCCCTGACCTCCAGCCCTTGGAAAAATTACATGGACATACATCTGTCCACCCAGACATTCTCTCCTTGGAGAACCGGTGCCTGCCCATGCTCCCTGATCTCCGGCATCTGGAGAAGCTATGTGGACATATGTCCAGTCACTCCGACATTCTCTCCTTGGAGAACCAGTGCCTGCCCATGCTCCCTGATCTCCGGCAACTGGAGAAGCTATGTGGACATATGTCCAGTCACTCCGACATTCTCTCCTTGGAGAACCGATGTCTAGCTACCCTCTCCGCTGTAAAGAGCTCTGTATCTACCAGCCCTTTGCTCCAGTGTCATCGTGCATCTCACATGATGCAAGCTGATTTGTGCGGCCCAAACATTAGCAATTGCCTGTTCCCTGAGCCTCCTACCAAGAAGGTTCCATGTGTCTCTGAGAATCTAGACCTTCCAACTTGTTCCAGGGTCCCGGAATCCATCTCTGCTACAACTGGAGTTCAGGAAGTAGCTTTGGTAATTGTTTTTGGATGCTGATCTTGACTCCAGCCGTATCTGCTATGTTATTATCACTAGATTTCAGTGCCTTCTCTGATGCTCTGCATCTAGGGACCTTCTTTCCTCAGCGTTTTTTGGTATTGGTACCTTTGACAGTTCAAGGAATTGAACCCATAGACATAGACATGGTAGGTAGGCTCTACTGCTGAGATACATCTCCAGTCTCTCATGGCCTTTTCTGAGTTACTCTTTACCTTAGGGCTGTCTTCACTGGCATCTTTGTTCTTTTTTTTATCCTCAATTTTTTAAAAAGATTTTATTTATTATGTATACAATGTTCTGCTTGCATGTATGCTTGCATGTGGAAGAAGGCACCAGATCTCATTATAGATGGTTGTGAGCCACCATGTGGTTGCTGGGAATTGAACTCAGGACCTCTGGAAGAGCAGCCAGTGCTCTTAAACTCTGAGCCATCTCTCCAGCCCCCCCCCCCTTTTTTTTGGTGTTTTGAGACAGGGTTTCTCTGTAACTTTGGAGGCTGTCCTGGAACTAGCTCTTGTAGACCAGGCTGGTCTCGAACTCACAGAGATCTGGCTGCCTCTGCCTCCCAAGTGCTGGGACTAAAGGCATGTGTCACCATCACCTGGCAGCATCTTTGTTCTTAGCAAGTACTTAGTGCAGAGATTCTAGGTAATAGACTCAAAAACAGTCCTTGTCTCCAGAAAGCCTCTGATCATTACAACAGAGTTAGCTGGGTGCGACATGGTTAGACATGCAGTATATCTAGTACATCAGAACTCACTTCCTTGTATCCTTGTGTGCTACCACATGGCCACTCAACAGATCCCCTTAAGCACATTTACTATGTAGATCAGAATTGGCAGACAGGAACCCATTTCCTCTGAGGACACTTGGGGAAAAGTTTATCTGACTCTTACAGCATCTCTGGTAATTAGAAAGTATATAGCCTTAGGCAAAGCTAACATTCCTTTTGTAGCTTTAATTTCCCCATCTTTCGAATCAAGAGGTGCTTCACAAAGTTCTGGTTTCAAAATACAACTGCCGTTACCCTGCTGTGATTTAGGGTTTTGCAGTTTGTAGAGTCGAGCATACCCCATTGGACTTTCCAACAGCCCTTTCAAGGAGGTGGTAGTGGATGAAGAAGCTCTTTGCTTCTGGGGTATTGATATGGGGCTTGACATTCCTGTGACCCAGAAAACACCGTGCTGCATTTAGAAGGTGTGTGAGAGGCCTTGGGCTCCCGGAGGGCAACCATGAGATGGCAGTGTGGAAGATCACAGAGCATCGGAGCAAAAACCTTAGAAACTTGAATAGGGGAAGGTAGCGTGAGAAAGAGTACTAGGCGGACAGGATGGAGTAAAGGTGATTAGTGTGGGGGCGAAGGCAGAGATGTGGGCCTTCCCTATCCCTGGGAGACACTTTCCGTCCCTCTTTGAGGACTGTGAGCACATGGTGCGATTTGTAACTGCCACTGTTTCTAGGCTCAGTGGTGCTTCTCAGAAGAACAGGAAATGCAGGGAGCGACAGAGAGAGCACAAATGCCCTTGTATAGTCTAAGCTTGGGAGACGAAGAGGAGCTGGATGCACCAGTCCTGAAACTCACATCTGGAGACTCGGAATCTCATGCCGAAACCACTGACCGGCTCCTACAGGAAAAGAAGGTAAGACTGGAGAGGTTGGTGGTGAGGGAATGGTGAGTATGGAGACCAGAACCAGGGCTTCTCCCTAGGAAGGTGGCAAGGGGGACATGATGCTGTTCTCTCTTCTTGCTTCTTAATCCGCTTTTCCAAGCTGTCCATTCTTTCTGGTTTTTGTTTTTTTATTGAGTATTTACCTGCATGTGTAGATATGCACTGTGTGTCTTGCGCTTGTGGAGATCAGAAAGAATGTCAGATCCCTCTGGGTGTGGTGGCGCATGACTTGTAGTCCGAGTGCATGGGAGGCAGAGGCAGATGCATCTCTGGGAGTTTGAAGCCAGCCTGGTTTATAATAGTGAGTTCCAGCTAGGGCTACAAACTGAGACTCTGCCCCTCCCCCTAAAAAAATGTTGCATCCTCTGGAGCTGGAGTCAATGAAGGTCACGAACCACTCGCCGGAACTAGCAACTGAACCTGGGTCCTCTGCAAGAGCAGCAAGCTCTTAATCACTGAGGCATCTCTCCAGCCACTCTGTCCTTGGTGGTACAAGTTGTCCATGTAGATCCTTACTTACTCTTACTCTTACATTCCGTGTTTCCCGATTCTCAGATGGCTCTCTTGACCTTACTGTGCTCTGCTCTGGCCTCCCATGTAAACGTAAAAAGTGCATCTGACCCTACCCGGGAATCCATCCTTGAAGTCTGCCGTGAACTGGCCTCCTTGGAACCTGAGTTCATCCTTAAGGTACTATGGTATGAAGGAGTGGGGAGAAACTTGGAGATATTAATGTGGTTATGGCATGAAGAGCTGGTAGCTGGTAGGGGTGGAAGGAACATTTGCTGAGGAAGGAAGTTTGGGACCCCTGGGGTTCTGTAGAGTGGAGAAAGGTGGGATGGGGGCAGGTATACGAGGATTGGGTTTGTCCAAGCTAAATGCACAAGACTAGGCTGTGGGAGTCTTATTAACATGATGAAACTTGGATCTGGTTCCAAGAAAGTAAAACACTTCCCCAAATAGTATGTGTGGAGTAGATTATGGCTGCTACAGAAGCAGAGAAGAAGCCTGTTCCAGTGTCATTCTGTTGCCATGATAAGTCACCCTAACCAAAAGCAGCTGAGGGAAGGAAGAGGATTTTTTGGCTTACACTTCCAGGTCACACTCCTTCATCGAGGGAGGTTAGTGCAGGAACCATGGGAGAACACTGCTTGCTAGCTTACACAGGCTCAAGCTTTCTTTCTTTTCTTTTTAACTTTTACTTTTACTCACTGTAACAAGAATCTGCACAGTATCCATACAGCTCAAAGGGTCATTGTTACAAAACAAAAACAGCTGTTTAATCTGAAGAACTAGCTCCAGAAACAGAACATTCCCCCACAGTCTCTCCCAGAACCTACTTCAGACCCAGTCCCTGTCACTTCCTCCTTCAGTACAAACAGCCACCACCCTTAGAGAAGTTGCCTAGTAAGGAGAAATCATCCTCAGTTAGATCCTCCTTGCTTGGGGGAAGGGGTGGGGACAATTAGGATACTCACTTCAAACACCAATTCTCAGTTTCATATATATAGGGAATTATACTTTGGGCTTTTATGGGGAGGGAGGGCAGTATTTTGCCAACATTATAACATTCATCCACAATGATGCATACAGCTGAAGCTTACTGTTGCTGAAAGGTAGTCTATACACCACAGCTTATCTATGCTACAATTTAATAGTGAATTATTTGTACTTCTAGGCCATCACAAATAAAATTGTCATGAACACATACCATTTCAGTATATACATACAAGCATCTTTATTGTATATTTTTGTACCAAGATTTAAAATTTCAGATACTGATCAACTGTTGTTCAAAAGAATTTATACCAATTCCAGCTCTTTAGCCAGTTTTCTTATACAGTCCAGGATGACCTGCCTAGGGATAGTGTCACCCACAGTGGGTGACCCCTTCTTCAGCAGTAGTAATTAAAACCATCTCCCCATAGACATGCCCATGGGCCAGTCTGATCTAGGGGAAAATGTTTTCTATGGGGCTTTGGAAGACAACAAGTTTAATCAGCAATTCGAAACCTGGGTAAACTTTTTTTTTTTAAGTTATAGTACTTTATTTTACTTAGAAATAATCTCAATAGATAGTGGTTATTTTACTTAATATAACTTAGCATAATTCTGAGACTGAAAGTCACCAAAAATTTTTCAGAAACTGCCTTCGGGAAGATCATAATTAGTTATTGGCCCGTTATTTCTCTCTTAACTTTTTTACAACGCATCCATGTTGCAATTGGTAAGTTTTTGATAGATGTTGTTATGAAGGGTCTTCCAAACAAGGACAGCCTGGTTGACTTAGGAGATGGTCAGTAGACCAAGATGACACTTGGGCTTTGTGTTTTGTAGATATTGAGGATGCTCAGCAAAGGTTTTATAGCGGCAGATACAATGGGCAAGATAATCCAGGGCATGAAGCTATGAGATAAGTGGCCAGCATGCCAATCTTTTCTGCCTTCCACCTTAGGCATCTCTGTATGCTAGGCAGCAACTTAACATCCGGGAGGTAGCCAATACTGTTTTGGCTATAGCTGCCTTCTTGCCAGCCTGCCGCCCCCACGTGCGACGGTATTACTCTGCCATTGTTCGCCTGCCTTCAGATTGGATCCAGGTAGCCGAGTTCTACCAGGTATGGTATTTAGTACCCTGCACTGTGACCTTCATGGTTCGTTTTGTTTTCTCCTTTCTTCACTGAGGAGATTTTCAGACAGGGTAGCCTTCACTCAGTTTTCCTCCATCCAAGTGCCCAGAGGGGATACATTTTCTCTGTAAGAGCTGGACTAATAATGAGACAAGGGCTGGACCAAAGTTTGAGAAAAAAATTTACCTTATTCTAGACATCCTTTATAATGATGACAATGAGTTCAGAGAAGACCACTGACTTAACTTGTACACAGAAATGTAATTTTGGTTGTAGGGCTAGGAAATTGTTCCCTATTCTTTTTTCTATATAACTCCAGGCTCCTGGTGTGTGTGTGTGTGTGTGTGTGTGTGTGTGTGTGTGTGTGTGTGTGTGTGTGTGTGTGTGTGTTCATTGGGTCTCTCTTCTGCTGATCTCCTCTCTTCTCAACAGAGTCTGGCAGAAGGAAATGAGAAGAAGTTGGTGCCCCTGCCTGCCTGCCTCCGAGCTGCCATGACTGACAAATTTGCACAATTTGATGAGTACCAGCTAGCTAAGTACAATCCACGGAAACACCGATCCAAGAAACGTTCCCGCCAGCCACCCCGCCCCCAAGTCAGTCTTTGCCTCAGCCCTGGGTGTTCACAGCCCCTTTTGTCTGGGAAGGGAGGGATAAAGAAACATGTTGAGCTTTGGAGTGCCTTCACAGAAGTGTCTGACATGTCCATACATCAGAAAGCAAAGGAACCAGAGAGGTCCAGATGACCCATGTGGAGTTCAGGGCGAGAAAGAACAGAGACACCTGTGTGAACTCACTTCCTATTTGGCATAGATACTTGTTCAGGGCTACTGGAATGGCAATCTCCAGGGGCAACTTCTGTTTCCCTGTTTGAAAATGTTTCTCCTATCCTCGTAGAAAACAGAACGACCATTTTCAGAGCGAGGGAAATGTTTTCCGAAGAGCCTTTGGCCCCTTAAGAACGAACAGATTATGGTGAGTCACTCGCTTGGGAGTTGTCTGTATGTCTGCACAATCCCTTCTGAACTTGTATTTAGAAATAGAATCCTATTAATTTAAAAAATTCCAATTGCCAGTGTGGTAGAGACTTACACTTACTTGTCCCTACCTGGGGATTCTCAGTTGTGGTTTGTTTGGAGGGTAAAGGGAAGGGATCTTGTTTTTCATCTCTGTTGTTCTTGTTGTTATACTTTGTTGACCGATGACATATCCAGTTGGATAAATGAGTTTAGAACACTATAAAATATCTCCACTCCTTATAAGGTTTTTTTTTTTAATTTTCTTTATTTGTTTTATGGGAACCCGTGTTTTGTTTTGCACACGTGTCTGTGTACCACATGTGTGCCTGGTGCTCTTGGAGGCCAGAAGAGGGCAGCAGATCCCCTGGGTTTAGCGTTACAGACATTTCTGAGTCACCATGGGGATGCTAGGAACTGAACCTGGGACTTCTGGAAGAGCAGCTGATGTTCTTAACCACTGGGCCCTTTCTCCAGTCCGATGTAGAAAGTTTTCAAAACAGCAGGTGCTACCACTACTGTAGGCTTATGATATAGATAAGAGTTGCCTTCTTATTCTTTCTCTGAGAGAATAAAAGGATGTTCTTTGTTCTCATTCCCTGCTTTTTTTTTTTTTTTCTCTTTTATGTCAATCACCCTATATAAATGAAACATGGGGACTCCCAGAAAGCTGTGTCTCCTCCTCTTCTTTTCTTTGGGAACCCAAAGAACTATTAACTTTTATTTCTCTTTATGTTTTTGAGATCATCTACCATGTTGCTCATGCTGCCTACACGATTGGGATCTGTGGTGCAGTTCTCTTGCCTTAGCCTTCCACATTGCTGGGACTGTAGGAGTGCTGTTGCTGTAGCATTTAGCTGCAGCTGTGTCCTTGGGAGGTCCTTCCTTCCTGCAGAGTTTTTCCTTGCTGTTTCTTTCCTTTGTCCAAATGGGTTTTAGAGAATGAAATTACCTCAAGTGGTATATGATCATTTTTTGCTTTGCTTCCTGATGTGGTATGGCAGGCTTATGCTTTTATTTCTGATACCCCATAATCATGGGTGAAATGAACCTTGTGGTGCTTGGGACTGTTTCCACAGTTTGAAGCAGCTTACAATGCAGTGCCAGAGAAAAGTCTGCCAAGGTTCACTCTGAAGAAGTTGGTAGAGAAACTGCATATCCACGAGCCTGCCCAGCATGTCCAGGCCCTGCTGGGCTACAGGTGAGACCCTGTATTTCAAGCACATGCCATCGACGTGATCATCACTTCATTCATAGCTCTAATTGTGGCGATTCTCAATCCCAGCAGTATGAGTGAAGGCAGACAATGTTGTGAGTCAGACTTTGGCTCATTTCTATTTATGGTAGCTTAGGAAATGATAGGTACTTTCTTCCCTCTCCTAGGTACCCATCTACCCTAGAGCTCTTTTCTCGGAGTCACCTCCCTGGGCCATGGGATTCTAGCAGAGCTGGGCAGCGGATGAAGCTCCAAAGGCCGGAGACCTGGGAGAGGGAGCTGAGCTTGCGGGGGAACAAAGCTTGTGTCTGGGAGGAACTCATAGGTAGGTGACCTTGACCACCATGTTCCTTTCAGGCCTTCCCCATTCATTTTTCTGTATTGTAGATTGTTGAAGATTTCCACAAAATGGTGCAGTTATTTTGCAATTTAGTTTACATAACCAAAATGTGATTGATATTTTGAGGTGTTTCTACTGATGTGGACAGTCAAACTTGTTTTAAATATCTTAGGTTAATCATTATTCCAAATATGCTTACGTGATAAACAAGTCTTTAGAAACACAGAACAAAAAAGTGGTATCTCTTCCTTGTTTGCACCTGTATCAACATACCTGTAATTTATTTCAAATGAGGTGGGGTTAGATCATGAAATGTTAGAACTTGTATAGAAATTCATGTAGGACCTGAACATTTTAATCATTTCCCAATACTGATAAAGGGGAAATTTCATATTGGGGAATAACGAATTACCTCCAGTCTTTTCTGTCTCCCTTTGTTGTCTATTTTTAACTATGAAAGGCTCTTTCATGCTTTCTTTTTTAAAGAAGGACTTATTTGATTGTGTGTATGTGCATGTGAGTGCAGGTGCCCTCAGAGACCAGAGACGGGCATCGAATACCTAGAGCTGAGTTATAGGCCCACTGTAGGTGTTAGGACCCAAACTTAGTTCCTCTGCAAGAGCTGTCCTCACTATTGACTTTGACTCACGCTCTTCAGCCCATTTTGAGGGGCTGGAAGATTACTTAGTGGTTAAGAACATTTGTTGCTCTTCAAGAGGCCCTGAATTTGATTCCCAGCACCCACATGGTGGCTCACAACCATCTATAACTCCAGTTCTAGAGGATTTCATACTCTCTTCTGGCTTCCACAGGAACAGGCATGCATGTGGTTCACAGACACACATACAAGCGAAACAACCGTACACATGAATGAATGAATAAATGAATGAATGAATGAGTGAGTGAATGAATAAAAAGTAATTTTAAAAAGAAAAAGAAAAGTTCCATTCTCTTTTTTAAAAAATTTATTTATTTATTTATTTATGTATACAGCATTCTGTCTCAATGTGTCCCTGCAGGCCAGAAGAGGGCACCAGATCTCATTACTGATGGTTGCAAGCTTCATGTGGTTGCTAGGAATTGAACTCAGGACCTCTGAAAGAGCAGCCACTGCTCTTAACCTCTGAGCCATTTGTCCAGCTCCCTCCATTCTCTTGTATGCCCCCTTTCTTTTGCTTTATCTTTTGTCTTTGTCTTTGGAAAGTCAAGGGTATTTTTCTCTTTGTTTAAATGTATGCAAATTCAGACCTTGATGGAATTTTGTAGACTTCCAATTTTGGAACTTGAGAAGCTCCAGTGTCCTTTGCTGATTGTTATGATTTATACTAGGGACAGCCTGAGTTGCTTGGCTACTTATTATTGTCTCTGTAGGTGCCACTGGTGATATATATCAGAATCACCTGGGAATTAAATGCCATACCCATCTGACAGCCTTTTTATCAATTCACAAGTTAAGATACAGCAACAAAGGGGCTTGGATGTGGGAAGGTATGGCGATGCACATTTATAATTGCAGTGCTTGGGAAGCTGAGGCAGGAGGATAACTATTTTGAGATCAGCCTGGAGATCCTGTCTCAAGCAAACAACGAAAACAAATAACAAAGAAGGATGTGGCATAGGGCTGAGTCTGTGTGCATGTCTTTACTTCCTCCTTTTAGCTGAGAATCACTTACTCTGAAACTTTAAATTGTGACATTTACCTTGTTTGAGACTAATACCTAATATAGACTAAATCCCCTATGGTTAGTTTTTTTTTCCCAAATTTTAATTTTATTTATTTATTTTATATGTGTAGATGCCTTAGTCACTAAGACTAACCCTATTGCTGTTCTGTTGCTGTGAAGAGACACTATGGTCAAGGCAACTCTTATAAAATAAAGCATTTAATTGGGGACTTGCTTAAAGTTTCAGGTTTAGCCCATTATCATCATGGAGGGAAGCATTGTGGCATGAAAGACTGGAGCAGTAGCTGAGCGGTATATCCTGATCTGCAGGAAGAGGGAGGGAGGGAGAGAGGAGAGGAGAGGAGAGGGGAGGAGAGGAGAGGAGAGAGAGAGAGGAAAAGAGAGAGAGAGAGAGAGAGAGAGAGAGAGAGAATGAATCTGGCATGGACTTTTGAAAACCTCAAGGCCCATCCCTAGTGATACACTTCCCCCAACGAGGCCACACCACCTAACCCTTCTAATCCTTTCAACAGCTTTCTAATACATGAGTCTATGAGGGCTGTTCTCATTCAAACCACCACAATGGGTCCTTTGCTTGCATGAATGTCAGTGAACCACGTTTGTATTTGGAGCCTGAAAATGCCAGAAGAGGGCATTGCATCTCCTTAGACAGGAGTGACAGATGGTTGTAAGCCATCATGTGGGTGTTGTGGATTGAACCCAGGTCCTCTGGAAGAGCAGCCAGTGCCCTTGACTCCTGAGACATCTCCCTAGCCCTACTTTTTTTTTTTATTTTGAGATAGAGTTTCTTTATATTGCCCAGGCTGTCCTATTTTTTCTCCTGCTGAGATTGTCGGCATGCACCGAGTCCTAAAGGCATTTATTTTCTTTTTCTTCTTCTCCCTGTCCCCCTTTTTGAGAACACCTACCTGTAATACAGGCTAGTCTCAAACTGGCAATCCTTCTGCTTCAAGTTCCCCATTACTGTGAATATGCCTCCATGTGTGGTCACCTAGAGCATACACCAAGGCCAGAACATTGATGGAGCTGTAATCCCACAGCCAAATAACTTTTCTGTTTTGAATTTCTTAATCTTGAAAATATTTTTTATTTTTTCCTCCCTCCAACTTTTCCCATGTACTTACTGACCCCTTGTTGTCTCTCAGATTCATTGCCTTTATTTCTTTGTTATATATAACATGAATAATGAAAAACTCAAGAGATTGATCCCAGCACTCGGGAGCCAGAGGCAGGTGGATCGCTGTGGGTTCGAGGCCAGCCTGGTCTCCGGAGCGAGTGCCAGGATAGGCTCCAAAGCTACACAGAGAAACCCTGTCTCAAAAAACAAAACACACACACACACACACAAAACAAACAAAACAAAAAACAAAACTCAGAGATTGATATTGGGGTTCAGGCTTCAAGCTGAAGATTGGCGAAGCAAAGCAGACAGCCACTAGCTCTTACCTCTACCTCAGGCTGAATGAGCTGTCCTCTCCTCAGCATGTCTGGAGAATAAATCTTTCCAGCAAACCTCAGACTGCAATCCTGTCTCCACCAAGCCTCAGACTGCAACCCCAGACTGCTGCCTCTTCCTTTTATTCCTCTCAAATCCTGGGATTAAAGACGTGGGATCCCAAGTGCTGAGATACCTTTGTGTGAGCTGTTTCTGTTTAGGATTGGATCATGTAGCTCACTGTGGCCTTGAACTAACAGAGATCCATCTGCTTGTCTCTTGAGTCCTGGGATTAAAGGTGTATGCCACCACTGCCTGGCTCAATGACTTGTAGCTAGATTTGCATTTTGATCCCAAGTGGCTTTATTAGATCACAAATAATATATCACCACAGTTATATTCCTAAATATATAACTACAACCTGCTCAGTCTGTATAAAGTTAACCTGTGTGTACATGATTTCCTCTGTAGAGGACCTGAGTTCAGTTCCAAGCACTTACTTCAGGCGGCTCACAACCTCCTGTAACTCCAGCTCCAGGGGATGCTACATCCTCTTCTGACCTCTGTGCACACAGCACTTGTGAACAAGTGGTTTATGCTCCCACACAGACAAACACATGTGCATGAATAAAAATAATTTAAAAAGAAAAGAAAAAAGCCAGGTTGGTTGTAGTGCACACCTTTAATCCCAGAACTCAGGAAGCAGAGGCAGATGAATCTCTGAGTTTGAGGCTAGCCTGATCTACAGAGTAAGTTCCAGGACAGCCAGGACTACACAGAGAGACCCTGTCTTGAAAACCCAGGGAAAAAAAGAGAGAGAAGAAAAATGACATTTATTTATTTGCTTGGGGGCGGGCACTATATGGAAGATCAGAGGACAACTTGCAGTAGTAGTTCTTGCCTTCCATCAGGTTGGTGGAAAAAAAGAGGAATTTGTTTTCTCAGTTGAACCACACCTAAAGCCAACAGATAGTGACATACATTGTTATTGAAACAGCTATCCCATAAACAGTTACATAAATTTTACTGTCCACTTCAGGCCAGTCCCTGTTTCATATTTCTGGATCCCTAAAACATTTTGAATAGAGCATATTGCATTCTCCCATTTGAGTCTCTGTGTGACTGTGTTTCCTGCTATGGGCTGCAACTTTGTGTCTGTCACTCACTCATTTTATCCCATCCCCCATGTCTGAAGACAATGGGAAACTCCCCTTCATGGCCATGCTCCGGAACCTGTGTAACCTGCTGCGGACTGGAATCAGTGCCCGCCACCATGAACTCATTCTGCAGAAACTCCAGCATGAGGTGAGTGTAATCAGTGGGGAGTGTGTGGCTTAGCCGATCCACGCTGGTCAGGAGATGCTGCATCTCTAGTGGCCAGCTCTTGCCTGTGGCTGAGAATGGTTATGGCTACCAGCTGGTTTCTGTGTGGGATATAATAAATGTGGAAACACAGACATGCTGGGAAGGACAGGTCTTGGGCACTAGTCAGTCTTCCAGAGATTACAAATAGAGAATAATAACTTCCCTGTTTACTTTGTAAACTCAAAAGCACACAGAAAGATCCCCATCTATGGATTAACTCACTTCAGGGACAGTGTAGAATAAAAAAAAAAAAATGGGGCTTTGGGGCTGGAGAGATGCCTTAAGAGGGTTAAGAATACTGGCTGCTCTTCCAGAAGACCTGGATTTGATTCCCAGCACCAACATGGCTGCTCACAACCATCTGTAACTACATTTCCAGGGAATCTGGTGCCCTCTTCTGGCCTGTGTGGGTACCCGGCATACATGTGGCACACAAACATACCTGTACACCCATACACATAAAATATTTTTTAATTAAAAAAAAAGAAAAGAAATGGGGCTCCAGTTACGTTCTCTTTTTTATTCTCTTTTCATACTTTTCTTTCCTTTCTTCTGTTCCCTCTAGATATCTATTTTTCTCTCTTTACCTTCCCACAAGCCTTGTGGAGTTACAGCTCCATTGTCTTGATCCTGTATGCCCCATGGCCTTCAGCCTCCCTGGTCCTCTGCTCATAATTCTTCCTTGTTTTTCAGAAATCTGTGGTTAACAGTCGGCAGTTTCCGTTCAGATTCCTTAATGCTCATGATTCTATTGATAAACTTGAGGCTCAACTCAGAAGTAAAGGTATTCTTTCTCTTCTGATTCCCATTTGCCTGTCAGATATTTTCAATCTCTTGCTTTGCAGACTTAGAGTGTGTTGTAACCAGTGGCAGACCTCTGCCAGCCCTAAGGATAGGAGTTTAGAATACTAAGGTAATAGAAGTTGCCTGATTAGGGTATTTTCCTGTTGCTACACAGCATTGCCCTTTCCTTCCAATACAACATTGATGAGGCGGATAATGATCAGAAACTCAAAAACTATCAAGAAGCCTGCCAACTCCAGGCACCTGTGCACCCTGACGCGTCGGCAGCTCCGGGCGGCAATGACTATACCTGTGATATTCGAGAAGCTCAAGCGGGAGAAGCTGAGGCTGCAGAAGACCAGGTATGTGCTTGCTAGCTGGGAAAAAAGTAAGACAAAGGATAAAGGAACTTAAGGCCAGGGCTAGGGAGCCATCTGGGAACAGGCATCCATTATCCTCTAGAGACAGACTTGTCAGTCATTCAGTGCTGCACACCTGTTGGGTTCCTGTCACTGTTACACCAAAACCCAGTCTTCAGCAGTTATATTGAACGTTGTTCTATAAAAATTATGAAAACCCAAATTTCTCTAGCTTCCACTTTGTTGCTTGAGATGATTTCACTGGTTCCGATGGAGTCTGTGAATGTGTGTAGCATCTCTTGCTGCATGCTGAGTTATAAGTGGTGTGAACCACCCAATGTGGGTTGTAGGGAGTTGGGGCCTTGAACTCCAGTTCTCTGCAAGAGCAGTACACACTCTTAATCACTGAGCCAGCTCTCTGGCCTGAGACAGAATCTCTTGCTGGCCTTGAACTTGTTGTGTAGCCCAGCTCGTCTCAAATGTAAGATCCTCCTGCCTCAGACTCCTCAGTATTGAGATTATAGTTGTGTGCCAGCATGCTCAGCCTAAGCTCCTTAGTGTAGCTGATGGCTTGTTCATTGATGATTTTTTTTTCCTTAGCCAGATTGTGCTATTGGCAGTTGGAGAATGAGTTTTCTGTCATTCTGTTGTATTTATTAGCTGGAAATCTAAAAAGTGATTCCCTCATCTACTATATCCATTGGGAGGTGGAGGCCCAAGCAAGAGTCAGTAATATGAAGGCAACCTTGTTTATGTAAGGCCTTATGTCAAAAATAAAACCCCCATGGCTAGAGTGATGGATGGCTCAGTGGTTAAGAACACTGGATGCAAATCCCACCCCTCAGAGCTCAGGGGACCCCACAAAAAAGGAAGCAGAAAGAGTGTAAGAGCCAGAAAGGATGGAGGACACCAAGGAAACAAGGTCTTCTGAGTCAGCGTGATTACATTCATAGGAACTCGCAGAGACTAAGGCAGCATGCACAGGGCCTGCACAGGTCTGTACCAGGTCCTCTGCATAAATATATATCAGGGCTTGCAGGTTTAGTGTTTTTGTGGGATTCCTGAGTGTATGAACAAGTAAGTCTCTGATTCTTGGGCCTTTTCCTTCTCTTGGTTTGTCTTGTCCAACTTTGATGTGATGGTTCTTGTTTTATCTTTTATTTTATTTTATTATTATCTCTTAGAAGCCCGTCCTTTAATAGACAGAAAGGGATTGGATGTGGGTAGGAAGGGAGGTGGAGATGACCTGGAAAGAGTGGAGGGAGGGGAAACCATAATCAGGATATATCAATTGAGAAAATAAACTATTTTTAATAAAAGGAAAACCACAAAACAACAACAACAAAATCAAAACTACAAATAAAAAATTTAAAGAACACTGGATGCTCTTCAGAATTCAGAAAATCTGGGTTTGTAGTTAGGCATTGGTGGCATTCACCTTTAATCCCAGCACTTGGGAGGCAGAGGCAGGGGGATCTCTGTGAGTTCCAGGCCAGCCTGGTCTACAGGGCAAGTGCCAAGATACCCAGGGCTGTTACACAGAGAAACCCTGTCTTGAAAAACAAACAAAAGACAAACAGAAAGAAAGAAAGAGGAAGGAAGGAAGAAAAAGAAAGAAGGAAGGAAGGAAGGAAGGAAGGAAGGAAGGAAGGAAGGAAGGAAGGAAGGAAAATGGATCCCACCCACTGTGTGGTAGCTCACTGCTGTCTTTAATTCCATTCTCAGGGTATCCAACATCATCTTCTGGCCTCTGCAGGCTTTGCACATAGGTGGTGCAAATGCAGGCAAAATACTCATCCACACAAAATAATACAATGATTTTGAAAAGTTTAATATCCCCTGATAAGCTTGTAGCAGTTAAGCCATGCCTCTTAAATCAAGTACAGATGAGCATGGCAGGCGATTGCAACACTGGATCCAAGTCCCAAGGAAAGCTTCTGTGGCAGCATGGGAAGCGGGCTGTGGGAGCGAGGGGGTGCTTAGGAGGGGGGAGAGGATCGCAGTGGCACATTTCTGTCTTTCCATCTGCTTCAGAGTTGCGGACAGACGGACAAGCTTCTGAGCCCCTGTGTCTGTGTCTTTTCTTGTTGTAGACAGTGGAATTGTGATGTCAAGTTGCTGGAGCGGTATCGCCAGGCCCTGGAAACCGCTGTCAACCTCTCTGTAAAGCACAATCTAGCCCCACTGCCAGGCCGGACCCTCTTGGTCTATCTCACAGATGCAAACGCCGACAGGCTCTGTCCCAAGAGTCACTCACAAGGGGTAAAGAAATAAAAACAAAACAAAACAAAACCAAAAACAACCCATCTTCCGTGGGGCTGGCAGGATGTAGGGTCTTGAGAGGATTTGTTTTCCCTCTGGTTCTCTGAGAGCCACACAGGCTGAGAGATATGGTGTGGACTTGCTTCCAAGTGCTGGTTATTGGTTCCCTGGGACAATTTTAGTCAGTCTTGCTTATGCCTCATAATACTAACATTTCAAGTTTGGCTAGCTAAGAGTGATCTGTAGGTTTCTGACACAAGTGTTTCTGGAATTCACTTTGCTGTATCCCAGTATTGACTTGGGCAGGGCTGCTGAAGGTGACCCATCCTGAGAGACCCACAGTCCCTCCCCATTTCCCCAAACCAGGAGTTTGGCCTCTAGAGCTGGGTAGGCAAGTGGGAGTTCTAAATTGTGACTCCCGATGATGCTTTGTTCTGTCAGCCTCCCCTGAACTATGTGCTGCTGTTGATTGCAATGATGATGGCCCGGGCAGAGCAGGTGACTGTTTTGTTGTGTGGAAGAGGAACCGTGAAGATACCAGTACTTGAGACAGATGAAGGTATCCTGAAGACTGCCATCAAACTTCAGGCTCAAGTCCAGGTCAGAAACGTTCCTCCCTACACACACACCCACACACACTACCCGAAAATAGATAAATGACACAAGCCTGAAAGCCCCTCCAATAGTAAAGGCATGAATGGCCAGGTGTGGTAGTGCGTACCTTCAATCCAGCACTCGGAAAGCAGGAAGCAGAGGCAGGAGGAATGCAAGTGTGAGGTCAGCCTGGGATGCAGAGCGGTTTTTCCTTTTGTTTAAGAAGCATATATGCTGGCCATGGTGGCGCATGCCTTTAATCCCAGCACTTGAGAAGCGGCAGCACGCAGATCTCTTTGAATTCAATGCCAGCCTGACCTACATAGTGAGTTCCACACTAGTCGGGGCTACATAGAGAGACCCTGTCTCGGGAAAGAAAAAGAAAAAAGAAGCACAGATATACATAACTTTGAGGATTTCTCAAACAAATTGACACTACTTTTTTTTTTAATTAATCATAATAGTCTTCCATTGCCCTAATGAAATGCTGGAGGCAAACTGACTTTACAAAGTAAAGATATTTATCTTGGTCAGTTCTCCAGGCTTGAGGGCGTGGCGCTGGCATTGGCTGACTCTGGTGAGGAGCTCATGGCAGGTGGCGTGTGGAAAATACACACAGAAGCAAAGGATTGCATCCAGAAACAAGCTAGAGAGTGATTCATGGTTCAGCTTCAGGTTTTTACAACTTATTTTTTACAGGAACTCAGATACCTCAGAGTCTTCCAAGAGTGCTTCCCTAATAGTAAGGACCTCCCACTATGTCTGAGCCCCCTCTTTCTAACTCACAGTGGGATCAGATTACAGATGAGCCTGTAGGGGATCCATGGAAACTGCCTCCAGGGCAGAGCACTGATACCCAGGCACAACTGCCTTCTCCTCCTCCTCCTCCTTCTTCATTTATTATATATAGTGTTCTGCCTGCATGTATGCCTGCAGAAGAGGGCACCAGATGTCATTATAGTTGGTTGTGAACCACCATGTGGTTGCTGGGAATTGAACTCAGGAACTCTGGAAGAGCAGGCAGTGCTCTTAACCTCTGAGCCATCTCTCTAACCCCAGGCACAAACTTCTAACCTGTTTCTTTCCATCAGGAGTTGGAAGAAATGGATGACTGGCCCATCAATACTTTTGGAAAGTACCTGCTGTCTTTGGCTGTCCAAAGGACCCCTGTGAGTCCTTCTCGGTTCCTATGAAACTCCCTTCTAGCATTTCCTCCACAACCTGCTTCTCACATTTGTTGTCTCCTATAGAGGAGGCTGGCCTTCCTCAACTTATCCTCCTGCCTCCACCTTCCAAGTGCTGGGCTCACAGGTGTGGAATGTGATTCTGGTTACTTCTCATTTATTGATCCTTCAACACCTTTCATACTTGACAGTGTTCTCATCGGCCTGCTGCTCAGGGTAGTCCCTCAGACAGGGTTGTACTGATAATCTGTAGTGATAAATGGAAACTAAGAGTGTAGTTTAATCAAGTTTGCTACTTCCCTCCCTTAATGTGAATTGTTCGGCAGCCCTCAGGCTACCTGCATTATGTCACTCAGTATAGAGCTGCGCAGAAGTGCTCAGCAGGCTACCATTGCCTCATATTTCCATAGTACTGAGATAATAGTGAAATGTGGCATGATAATTAGAAGGCGGTGCACTTTGAGAAGGTATTACTGTTGTCTTAAGTGTAATAGATATAGTGTAGTGTTGAGAATTGAAGTCAGGCCAAGTGCATCACCGTGAACTATACCTATAAGCCCTTTATTTATCAACTTGAATGCTTGAAATAGTCATGTTGACTGGACATGTAGATAATGAGCTTAGCTTAGCATGCTCAAGGCTCACACCCATAAATATAAAATAGCCAAACTTAAGAACTGATTCACAGTGTGCGTGGTGGCGCACACCTTTAATCCCAGCAGAGGTAGGAGGTGGGAGGGGGGATCTCTGTGAGTTCAAGGCCAGCCTGTTCTACATAGTGAGCTCCAAGACAGCCAGGACTACATAGACAGTCTCAAAAAAA